ATCGTCAGTGAGGAGCGGTGCCCTATGTGCACCGCGCCTGTGCACCTGTCTCTGCACAAAGTTCCTGGCTCTGGGAGGGATGCGTCTCTTCATGATTCACAGTGATGTGCAACGCATACCCTCTGGGAATTTGACATAGCCATGGAAAATCACCGTATTGTTAATGAGCAAATCATCTAGAAACGGGTCATGTTCCACAGCTATGTTAAATTTCCACACAATAAACCATCCAAAAACGTCAAAACACCACTTTGAGGTGGCTCTGTCTCAACATTGGGAGCCTCCAAATCCATCAAACTGGTCAATTTTTTGTTGGTTCACTTTCATGGCTTCACATGCCAAATTCATTGCTGACTAAGATCCCCCATCTTGGAGGGAGAGATGCTAACAAGCGCATGCAGTTTGAGGCCCCGGTTGCATCACCTGGGCCCAATCAATTTGGAACAGGACATGGTCATATCCCCAGTGTTTGTTGGGCACTGTAGCACCCGTAGTTGGCGGATTCATGTCGCCCTTGGTTCACTTCGGTCCAGAAATCAAATGGAGTACTTTGGAAAACCCCGTGTTTTGTACGAAAATCTATGGGAGCAATCTACAAATGGCGGAAATTCCATTGCCATGATTGATTCGTCAACCCCTAGGGGGAGAAAAAGCACTAACAGAGATCCTGCTTGAACATTCGATCTGTTTGTATTGAGGTGCCATCTGGGAGGGTTTTTAGGGGCTGGACTGAAGGACCCTGCTTTTGAAAAACACACCAGTACACACCAGCTTGACTTGTTTGGCTCATGATCCTTTGGTCCAAATGTAGAGAGTATACGGTATATCTACCAAGAGCTTGCAATCCCATCCTTTACTGTGAAAATTGCGACTCTTAGATGAACTGCAAAAATAAACAATGGGAATGATATTCCCCAGTGTATGGCAAAAGATCAAAGCATCAAACTACCCTTCAGGAGATGGTTCAGCCAAATCTGGATGTTTTTCCCCAACCAAATTTGAAAGTATATGATAGTATCAAACCATAAAATGGCGAATGTCCAAAAAGAGTTCCAAACAAAAAGACACAGGTGAATCCCCCTTGCCATTGTATCATATGATATCCAAGTGGTTCCTCTTTTTGCTGAAGTCTGATATCAGACCTCCTTCCACCCTTCCAAGCCCTGGCCCTGTGCCTCTAGGGTCATGGCCTTTCTTTGAAGCGGTTCAGCAAAGGAGGACACGAATTCCAGGAGTAGCGGTCCAGACTGGGCGGCTCTGCATGGGAAAATCTACAGGATGCCATCAGGTGTGGACCCATCAAAAACAAATGAGTCTGTTCGTTACGTTAAGGTAAAAATTGAACTGATAGATAGGTAGATAGATAGATATAGAGATAGAGATAGAGATAGAGATAGAGACAGACACAGACAGACAAACAGCCAGCCAGCCAGGCAGGCAGACAGACAGAGAGAGATATAGATATACATATAGATATACATATAGATATACACATATAGATATACACATATAGATATAAACATATACATATACACATATAGATATACACATATAGATATACACACATAGATATACACATATAGATATACACATATAGATATACACATATAGATATACACATATAGATATACACATATAGATACACACATATAGATATACAGATATAGATATACATATATATATATAGATATACATATATAGATATACATGTATAAATATATATATGTTTACATATATATATATACATATATATACATATGTATGTATATATACATATATAGATATACACATATAGATATATACATATAGATATATATATATACATATATATATATATGTATATATATGTATATACATATAATATAGATATATATATATATATACATATATATATATATATGTATATACATATATATATGTATATACATATATATATATGTATATATATATATATCTATATTATATGTATATACATATATATACATATATATATATGTATATGTATGGATGTGGATATACTGTAGATATAGATATAGATATGATAGAACTCATGCTGAAGGAGCCAGAGCACCACATCCTGATGAATTGATAGATAGATCCTTACTCAATCTTACTGATAGATTCTGATGGATCCATGGGGTTGAATAAGATGAGATGAAAAGAAAGATTGACATTAAGATCAAGATTCAGATTATAAATAGATATGTATGTATATATATATTATATAATATATATATATATATGAATTATATATATATATGAATTATATATGTATATAAATGTATCATCTGGACATACTTAAAATGGTTGCTAATTTCTTTGGTAAACCCCTAAACTGAGAGATTCTTCGGCAAAAAAAACTTCCGGTTCTGTGGGCTGTATCCGGGGCCCCCAACGGTCCATCCGTGGATGAGCATGAAGGCATTGCTACTGAGATCAATGCCATTCTCGACGGCTTCCTGGATATCATGATATCTAATCTATCTATCTATCTACCTACCTACCTACCTATCTATCTATCTATCTATCTTACTTATCTATCTATCTATCTATCTATTCTATTCTATTCTATTCTATTCTATCTATCTCTGTCTAATCTATCTAATCTATCTAATCTATCTAATCTATCTAATCTATCTAATCTATCTAATCTATCTAATCTATCTAATCTATCTAATCTATCTAATCTATCTAATCTATCTAATATCTAATCTATCTAATCTATCTAATCTATCTAATCTATCTAATCTATCTAATCTATCTAATCTATCTAATCTATCTAATCTATCTAATCTATCTAATCTATTAATTTATCTAATCTATCTATTCTATTCTATCTATCTATCTATCTATCTATCTTATCTTATCTTATCTTATCTTATCTAATCTAATCTAATCTAATCTAATCTATCTATCTATCTATCTATCTTTAGCTGCGTTGATCAAGCTGCGTTGATCAACCAACCACTGGGAAACTTACTATGGTTCCCAAATGGATATGCTTCTTCCATGGAATCCCTTTGGTTTTCGAAACAAAATCCTTTGGATTTATGCATCCTCATCCCTCCATTCGTGTGTGAATTCTAGGTTTTAACCCATTGCCAAATCAGAAAAATAAGCCCACTTGGGGATGGTCCCCCCAATCCTAACCACCTACGGTGAGATTCTTGGGAGCATCAAACTTGCAGAATTCAAGGGTGGGACATTCACAGGTTAAAGGGAGATCACAGGAAACCATAGATTTACATGCCCAAATACCAAAGGTGTCCTGGAAATATTCGCGTGGACCAATTAATTATGGAAAATGTTGATGTATGGTTTGTTGTTGTGGGGGTTCTGCCGGATATTGGAAGGGTTTCTTGTTTGGATGGGTATTGATGGATATCTGAATGGTATGGCTCAATGAGCAGCCAGACATTTGATCCAAAAGGATCCAAAAGGAACATCCGAATTGATTCGTTGGGGAGATGTCGCCTGCATCACCTGCAACACCTCATAAAATGATTGCAAAAAATGGCTGATCATCCCATCTAGATCTCAGCAATGGGGTCGAATGTATGGTCATATCACAGTTTCAAGTGATACTCGTGTAATAAGTTGATGATGTAGTGGACTTCACTGGCTACCTTCCGCAGGCTGCTGTACCTTCTGCAAAAAGTTTCTAAATGCGAGGTCAAAAACAGCAGCACAAGAGAGGCAAAAGGAAGCCTTCTACTCTATACAAAAGGCAAACCCTAAGGAGAGGAAGGCAAGCGGGGGGAACGGAACCCTTATGGGACGGGACGACGGGACGGAAAGCGATATCATCCCAATTCGGGGAGATAAATCAGATTGCATCGCCATGAAACAGTTGCAATGGCGACTGCCAAAGTCCCAATCCCGAATCACCTCATTACAAGACTCAAAGGGATGACATGGCATACACAAGCTGCCCATGCCCATTGAGAAACCCATCTTCCGAAACCGTTCAAAGACTCCCATGGCGGTTGTTGTTGCTGCCCTCAAGTGATTGTGGGAAGTTCTTCGCGAAAGATTTGGACACCTATCTGAGTTTTAAAAAAAAATCCGTTGGCTGGATACATTTTGTGTCAAAAGCTGCGCATGAAAACCTTCTGGGTGGCATAAAAACCCTCTGAATGTCTATTTTTTGTGTTTCAACCGTGTCTTGAAGGTCAAAACTGCTTTTTAGGCTTTGGTAGTCTGTTGCCATACAACCCAGCAGCAGAATCAAGTCTTGTTGGATCTCTCATCTTAGGTTCCCACCAAGCCCGCCAGCCTGCACCCCCCAAGCCTCAAGTGTTGCTTGATCGCACATGTCGCACCGGCGCCAAAACTGTTAAAGGATATCACCTCTTCAAATGGGCCCCTCTGTGGCTGATCAATTAAGGAACCCAGCAGTTGTAGCTGATCTTCAGGTTGCCAATGGTTTCGCCATGTGTCTCGTCATGTCCTTTCCAGCATTTTGCGCTGGTACCTGCGACCCAAAAGCGGCAACGGTCCAAGTCCCACCAAAAGGGCCTAGTTTGAAGCCCTCGGAGAATCACGTGACATCATGGTCCTAAAAGCTGACTGCATTCGCAAGAATCGAAGTTGTTCATAGGGTCCCGAAGTCCATGCTTCAGGCGACCTCAAAAGACAAACTTTCACCACGGCACTGTCCAAACCGAACACTTTAACTGAGATTTTATGTACTGTAACTGTAACGAAGAGAGGTTGCATACCTCAAGATTGGTGGCATCAATGTGTCAACTGGGAAAAAAATCATTGTGTGCGTGTGTGCAAATATAGGGAATTCCCCTTGAATGGCCATGTTACTAGAGAAAGATGGATGATAAACCATCAAAATATCTGGGTAAAGTAAGTAATACACCATCCCCAAAATTAGAATTGTTATGGGTTGTATAAAACATATCAGAACATTATAAAACCATCCCCAGTCATGGTAGGCTGCAGGATTTCCCACACTACCCCAACAAGCAGCCGTTGTTTGAAGCGGCGCATTTTGACGCAGCAATGAGGTCACAGTCACAGGGCAATGATTCCTTTGGCCAGTAGCAACCTGCCACGGCCCAGATATGTGCCTGGAACATACCATTTTCTGCTGCAAAAAAAACATGAGTTTAGCACACATCTTTTTGAATCTATTGATAAGTGACCATTGTCGTTGAATTTCAGGCATGAAGCACCAATCAGAAAACGCACCGAAGAGGATGTTGAAGCAGCATAAGCCATAAGCCAACCGGTGCTTTGGACCTTCGTTTGGATGATTTTCCTTGAAAATTTCCCCCCAATTCAAAAGGCATTCACTATCTGCCTGACTCTCTGAGAATATGGTACGACCCCAAAATCGGGTTGATCATCATTTCCCCTACTTTTCATTGATTTTCTTTATTCCAATTTTTCCAATATCCATTTTATATGTTGGGGTGACCCAGCGCCTGTGTCCCAAGGATTTCACGTTGAGGACCTCCCATAAGGAGGGCTCAATGCGGCTCATCGCAGAGCCTTCCTTACCGAGGACACCTGGTCAAAAATGAGTTGCGGAGCTCACCAGGCACCAGGCCCAAGGCTTGTAGCATGGCCACTGGGATGCACCCCGTTTTGTAACCATCAGAATCACTAGCTGGTTGTATCATGTTCATCAACTTTTGATAACTTCAGAATGATAAACAGAGATGGCCGCAGTCACCTGGTCATCTGGTCCAGCCCCATTCAGCAGAGTTCTAACCAAGTGGCAGGCGGAGAGCGGAGCCAAACTGCCAAACTGCTCCAGAATGACAGGACCGTAGGACACCTCGGCGGCCGAAAAGCCACTTCAGCGACTGACTGGTTAAAGGTCTAAGTCAGTGGGACACCTTCTGTGGACACAAAAATTGAGGCCCGCAAATGCACTGAACTTGCGAAGCAACTACTGGTCCATCAACTCATCAACTCCTCAGGTCCTAAGAAAAAAACCTCAGAACAGATCAGAACGGATCAAAACAGAAGATCCACCCATTGAAAACTAGTTGAATTCCTCCAGTGGACATCACGGTTTTCCAGCGTACCAACCCAGAAATTCATGGGGCCCAACCCTTGGATGGTTTTCCAACTCCTTGCAAAAACAATCAAACAGTGGGGTGGGCACATCGAGGCCCCAGATGTTAAACTTGAAACTAATCTCCTTCTTTTACCCCCCACTGGATGGTTTCTGATCATCAGCATCATCATGTTCATCAGCATCACTAGTTTCATCCTCATGCTCATCGTCATGCTCATCATCATAATCATCGCCATCATCATCATCATCATCATCATCATCATCATGTTCATCATCATCATCACCACCATCATCATCATCATCACCATCATCATCATCATCGTCATCGTCATTGTCGTCATCATCATCATCATCACCACCATCATCATCACCATCATCATCATCATGTTCATCACCATCATCATCATCATCATGATCATCACCATCATCATCATCATCATCATGTTCATCATCATCATCACCACCACCACCATCATCATCATGTTCATCACCATCATCATCATCATCATCATGTTCTTCATCATCATCATGATGATCATCATCATCATCGTCGTCGTCATCATCGCCATCATCATCATCATCATCATTGTCATCACCATCATCATCATCATCGTCATCATCATCATCGTCATCGTCATCGTCGTCATCATCATCATCATCATCATCATGATCAACATCATCATGTTCATCATCATCGTCATCATCATCATCATCATCATCATCATCGTCATCGTCAGCGTCATCGTCATCATCAGCAGCAGCAGCATCATCATCATCATCATCATCGTCCATATTCCCGACAAACGGCCTTAAACAAATAAACATATTACTTTCTGACCTGGGACTGCTTCGGTCGTCCCCTGGGCCATCCCCCGATCCCCCTGTGCCGAGCTTCCAGCGCTCCGCGGCCCGAGTCCAAGCCCCGAAGCCAGGCCTTGACCTCGTCTTCGGTGTCAATGACGTTGGGCCGCTCCGGAGCCGCGGCCGGGGGCGCGGCGGGTTCGGGCGGCCTTGCAAGGGAGGAAGGGGGATGAGAAGTTGCTACTTATCCACACCAAGTCATGGAGCTAACCCGCAAAATCCACATAATCCAGAAACCGATGGAATTTTCTTCGCCGACGTTTCGCACCTGCTGGTATTTGGCTTAACACTTGGTGCGGCGCTGGGTTTCGCGCTCGGCGCTCCGCCCTTCTTGGGCGGCGTGCGGGGCGCGGCAGAGGCCGGTGCGGCCGAGGCCGGCCGGGCCGGTGGCTTCTTCTCTGGCGGCGCCGGCTTCGGTGGCGGCGCCGGCTTTGGCGGTGGGGCCGGCTTCGGTGGGGCCGGCTTCGGTGGGGCCGGCTTTGGTGGGGCCGGCTTCGGTGGGGCCGAGGCAGTCTTTGGCATGGCCTTGGGTTGTACAGACACTGGATCTGGAGCACGCCAGACCCCGCGGTCCGAGGAGGGTGAAGGCGAAGAGCTTGCATCCTGGAGAGGCCCAGGGGACCAGGGCCGGAACTGCAAATGACTTGTCAAAAAAGAAACTGTTTCAGCACGGGTGGGAAAACAACAGTGTTGGAGGACAGTGTCCTTCCTATGGTTCTAGGGTCACAGGAACCTTTGGATGGGACCTCTTCCTTCATAGACACACTCATCGGTCTTCACACTAAGCATGTCTGCCACCACAACCATAGACACGAGACTTTCGCTTCCACGTTTGACCTAGAATTCTAGAAAACTGTGATCTTGTGCGATCTCTTGTTCCGAATGTGTTGTTGTTCTGGTCACTCTACATAAGGTACAGGCACAGAAAGCTGCCAAACGTAGAGCGGCTCAGCACACCAACGATCTGGTGCTCCAGCCTTCTTTGCCACAGGGCTTCGTTTCACCGATCGAAGGCGTGGGGCTTCTCGATGGCCTCAAGGCAACTTTTCTGAGCACGAGTGACAACTGGACTTAGGTGCAATATATAAAGACCTTTCAGGAGTTCCCAAAATGGTGATCCCAAATTCCTGAGTTCCTTCAAGATCTGCCAGGTTCAATTTAACTTTGTGCCGCTTTTCCCCCAACTCTTCAGCTTTACACCAAGGCACGAGACCGCGAGCGTGAGCGTCGCCGCGACCGCGAGCGCCGCGAGGAGTGCCGCGCCCGCCTTGATCTGGACCGCCGCCGGTCTGAGTGGCGCCGATGCCTGTGGCGACGACTGCTCTCCCGCGGCCGGGAGCGAAGCGACAGCGACGAGCGGTATGGGGAGGTCCGTTTGACCGGTGACGAGAAGCCCGGCCGGAGCTCTCGTGGCTTTGGGGGCAAGGGTGACACCGATTTTGGCTTCTCGGGGGCGGCCTTGGAGGTCGTACATGCAGGCTTTGGTGCAGGTAGAATCAGCCTGCGGGCTAGAGCTTGGAGGCAGCTAGAAAAGCCAAAACTTCCAGTTTAAACCCAGATTTTGGAAGAAGAACTGCATCCATACTTGTCTTGGCATCCATTTTGACAGGACTACATCTGGCCAATCAGAAAACTTGTGATGAAATGTCACCCCTGTTATCCAGGCAAATCACCGGAGGGATCCGATTGTTTCCAGCCTCATCAAAGTGGCTGCAGCTGGGTCGCGCTTCTGCACCTCCTCCACCAAAGTCTGATGCCTTAGGCTGGCTGCTATAGCTTGCCATTCTCAGCTAGATGTTTCCCTCCCCACCGACACCCAAGATCGATGTCCAAATAAAATAAAGAATGTAGTGCGACTTTACGCATGCGGAACAGAAATCCGAATGGAAGGTTGCCACTTGAAATGGATATATTTCGACTTTGGGCTTAGCTTTTCCCAACCCTAACAACCCTACTTTGCAATCGTTTCCATCTGTACAAAAGGGCAAGCAAAAGGGCAAGCAAAAGGGCAAGGTCATCATGATGTTGGGCCGCCCATGGGCTTCCAGGCTTCATCTAAGTGATTTCTGCTGACGGGATCCCTCCCATTTTTCTGGGGCAACTCCGCCGAGGTGGTGCTTACACTTCCCTTTTGATTCTTTGTTATGTAAAATATCTATAGACATGCCATTAGGGGAATAAAAAGGATGTGTGCACATGACGTCGCATATGATTAAATATAAATGTATGTATACATATGTATACATTATAAATACATACACATGCTGTCACATACTTACAATGTGCAATTTTGTTTGTGTATGTATATATATATACACATGTACGGTTGGTACATCTCCAATGTCGTGTCAAAAATTTGGATGCCCAAAAATCCCATGGTTGATCGTCGTCTTCCCCATTCCTTGATGGCTATGTAGAGGGTATGCCGCTATGCCCCATTCTCAGACAGACCCCAAATGATAAGATTGCTTGTTGTCTATCCCATTGTATCCCAATTATTACCATTGAATCCCTAAAAAAAACCGGTGAAATGCCGATTACCCTCTGGTACTTATGGGCCACGTTCTATAGTTCTTTGAAATTGCTGCAGGTTGAATCCTCATGAAATACCCTCCTGCAAACCAACGTAGATATGGAAACCCCACCATTTGTAGATTCTTTTGCTACGGAAACCATGGGTCTTCCACACCTATGTTAGTTTACCCCATAGGGACATTCCCATGAAATACCCAGCATCCCTTGTCACACGGCTCAAGCCCTGTGACGGATCCGAAGCTTTCTCCAAGGTCTCACGAACATGCCCTTGGATCCCGGGAGAGGGGGTCTGACCAGCTTTGAAGTCACCCAAAAAGACAGAAAGTACAAGTAAAATCCTACTAAAAAGATCCAAAAAGAGTGTCAAATGACTGTTCTATCTTTTTGGGGGGTCCAAGAAGACCTGCATTTTTCAATGGTTTGCCTAGGAAGAGCATCTACAATCATGGGGGTGCCATATCTGTTAGTCTGCCAAACGGCAACCAACAAAAGGTTGGTGAATCTCACACATCATGTAGTACTGGGAATATCAGCAACAAGGGTCCACTCCGGAGAGGTGTGATCAACATTGTGCTGGGAATATCAAGAAGCCGTGCCCTTCAGCAAGAACAATATCTTTATTTTTACAACTGGAATTTCTGAGAATCGTGGCACCCAAAGACATTTGTTTGGACTTTAAGGTCCAACAATTTTGCACAAACACGGAATGGCAGGATGTATCAATATACTCGTTTGTTCAACATCTTTGATTGAAACTGGAGGGTAGAAAACATGAAAACATGAAGCAGGAGCTAACAAACATACTCCTGATCATCATGTACAGTACTCATCATGTACAGTACCTACTGTATCTCTTGTTTAATGGGGATGACCCCTCTATTAACCAATCAACCAATGGGAAAAGGACATCTATGGTCCTTCTCACCCTGGAAACCAAGCATCCATCCGACATGAAGGCCTGAAGCGCAGCGCCCAGCATTTTGAGGCATGTCTCCGCCTGAACGGCACTGAACGGCAGAAACATCCCCAGAGCCACTCTACAAAACCAATAAAAAACACCCACTTCTTTTGGGCTTGAGGGATTTCATGAGAGGAAAGCACAGAAAGGCATACATACAATGGTACAGGAGCCTTTCCTGTAAATTTGTCCGCCAATGGCTGGCCGGCGAAAGATAACTTTCCATAATCAACATCAGTAATAATAACAATCATCACCATCACCACCATCACCATCATCATCATCATCATCATCACAAAAATCATAGTCATAATAATGAAAATAATATAATGGCAAACATGAGACCACTACTGACAATCATACTACCCACTCGTAGTTTAACCGTGCTATGGAAGATCACAATGTTTAAGAACGGTTAATCATCGAACCAAATGGGCGATGGTTCCACAGCAACCTGTTAGATAACCAGATGGTAATCATCATCAACCAACTCAACCAACCATGAGTTATCAATACGTGTCAATTATATCCTAGATGTTTAATGGTTGAACGCCTTGATTAATGGTTGCATCCCCTTCAAGTATATGGAGGTTTCCCAAAATGCTGGTACCCCCAAATCATCCAAATTAGACAATTTGAGTATTGAAACCCATGGTGACTTGAAAACCCATGGTGACTTGGGGATCCCCCATTTGAAGAACCCCCCATATGAATTTTGAACGCTGCTCATCAGAGCTTGGTTGTCCCAAAGCTGTGCCTCTGGCAGGAGATTATGGTACTTGCAGAAGCGGGTGAGATTCTGGAGCACACCCGGCTGGAGCCTGAACGAAGAAACAAATTGAGCACCCCGAAATTTTGGGGGCCGCAACCCAGGTGGCTACGAACCATATAATGACCCATGCACATATGGGTAATACATATATATATATACATATTGTATATGGAGAGAGATAGGAAAAGGGAGATAATGTGACTATGTGTAGACAATTGTACATATACATATATATATATATACATATATATATATTATGTGTATATATATATATATACATATATATATATATGTATAATATATATATATACATAATATATATATATATATGTATATATATATGTATATATATGTATATATATATGTGTATATATATATACATATGTATATATATATGTATATATATATATACATATGCAGGTTGTAAACCACTTACTGTACTAGCTGGGATGCATCTCCATTTGCACGAAAAATTCTCCGCCCCGCTGGGCGTGTTCCACTTCAAAACAACTTCCAACTATCGAAAGACGCTACCTTTGAAACACACCCGTCCGGCATGTGTTGACCCATTTCAGACCTTGAAAAATCTCATGTGCTGCTTTCCAGGACCAAGCTACGTCAAAGTCTATTCCACCTGCTCCCCATCAGGGGTCGTCTTCCAAATGGGGATGGAAAACTCAATCATTTGGAAACCGGTCTTTTTGGGTGTCGAAAATCCCATGGTTCAAAGTCCTTTTCCTAATTGAAATAGCCATTTCCGGGTATCCCCTAGCAATTTTTGGGTATCCCCCATTTCGTATAGTTTATAATTGATAAAGTTGTTTGGTTTGAGGATGTTTGGGGGTATACCAGTATGCCTGTAATTTTAAAAAAGTAATAATAATGAATTTGGGGTACAACAGTTGTCGATTGTGCCAGGCAGTTGTCGACTTCTGGAGGTGAGGCATCCACAAGCCCCGGCCTGACTCCCATGAGCCGATTGCCTTGGAAGGTCCTTGGTTTGTGCTGGGACTCCAAGAGATACTTGGAGGATTATTCTGGAGTCATTGGTCAAGATGGTCAGGGGACTGTGTAACCAGGCTTATTGGCCAGTTTAAAAAAGTGGTATCCCCCAAGTACCCAGTCCTCCAGGCATCATGATCGAGGAACTTGTCTCCTACCTATACGGATCTCATTATGTAGAGGTATAGGTTTGTCTCCCAACATTCTCCTCTTCAAAGGTTAATTTCACAGGACTGCTGTATCTTTGGACAGACCACCATCCTGCTATGAACTGGAATGATCGTATCGCTGCCCAACTGACAACCATGTCTCGTCAACCCACTGTCAACTGCAATAACCCTGGCATCAACTTAAGCCCAGTTGCCATTATCCCACTTTGGAACTACAACATGTTTTGTGGAATTGTCCCGGCGTCATCATGGACCACGTGATCATGGACCCCATCATCAACCTTGCTGATTTGCATCCCTTGCAGCAATTTCGCGGATGGTGCGATCCAAACAGATCTAAGTAGCACAACGTGGCTATTGTCACCAAACATGCTCGTGTGGATTTTTTGCTTGCTGAGACATGACGCGAGAAAAACACGGGCGGGGGGGCGGGCATCTAAGGCGAGCTCTTTGACCAGTTGCTGCACTTTGCCAACTTTACACACTCCAACTTTGGAACTGGTTTGATCCTACAAAGCATAGCTAATCTGAAATGCACCGCAAATAGGCAAGCTCTAGCTGGGTATGATATTCCTCGAACCAAAAAAGAGCTTCCAAAAGGTTTCCCCCCACAGTGTCTTTCCCAAGTCTCAGCGCTTCTTCTCGCGTCTTCGGTGGCCAAACAATGGGTGGCCGGCTCTTTGGCGGCTGCGGCGCAGCTGGTGGCTGAGGGGCCCCATGGGGGGCCGTCGGGCCGGGCCAGGCACCCATGGGCCACACACCCCCAAACTTCGGCGGTCGGGGCAGCGGACCGGCCGCAGGGTATGCCATGTTGGGCATAGTGGGCATAGTGGGCATGGTGGGCATCGTGGGCATCGTGGGCATGGTGGGCATGGTGGGCATGCCGCAGCCCATGCCATTGCCCATGCCATTGCCCATGCCATTGCCCATGCCATTGCCCATGCCCCATTGTGGGGTACAACCTCCAGCAGTTTGCCATGGCATCTGAGTGGTCGAGTCCTGGCTGAGTTCCAACGAAACGTCAAGGAAAACTCATCTGGGTATGTGGGTCAATATTGAAGACCCTGGGACAACAAATGTTGAGCAAGTCTGGTAGCCCATCCACCTTCTGGCTGCGCAATTTTGACCCAAAGCAATCTAGAAACAAAGCTCTTGTAGTCTGATTTCCAAAGCATCCATATGCTTCATTGAAAAGCAGCCGGAAGTTTGATGCGTGTCAAAACGTTTTACCGACACTTCGGAAAACCTTGGCCTTACATGGTTTCTCCAGAAGTTTTGCCCCACTTTGACCCCCCTTGCCAACTGTCTCTTCGAGCGGCACCAAACCAAAAAAAAAACGGTTCTCACCAACATTTGGGTTCGAAACATGCAAAAAAGGCAGAGTGGGACCCCTCAAACACCCTGGCCTGACGCTTGTATAGACACCCATGTGGCTTTCAAACAAGAATGAATTTGGAAATGCTATGACATGCAGATTTGTGTCCTAACCTCACCCCAAATACCTTAGCAACTTCACCCAGCACAGCCTGAATGAGCAAAAGATATCAAAAAATAAACCATATGATTGTTCGAATGGCCATTCTTAGCTGTATGTATGTATGTATGTATGTATGTACATTTTATATATACACATACAATATATGTTACATGTTCCTCCCAGCCCTGCTACATCTTTTATCATTTATCATGCATCATCATCATCATCATCATCATCACCATCATCACCATCATCAATATCATCATCACCTACATAGCTCCTATAGTGATAATAAGAATTACAATACTAGTAATAATGAGTATTGTTGTCGATTATGATAAATTCCGTTGCTCTTCGCAGTCTATAATGATAAAAATAATAATGATCATAACTAATAGGAAGCTTTATCGCTGCAGTATCTGGTAAGAAAAAGAATGATCATAATAGTTGTCATAATCATATTCCCAAGATCCTCCTCCCAGTCAAAATAATGATAACAATAATAAGAACAATCATCAATATTATAATTGTCACAAAGAAACACAAATGCATCATTGATTAGTATTCACTATGAGTATTATTGCTGATTATTATCTATCATTCATAATGTCATTTGCTCTTTCCACTCCATAATGATTTAAACAAATGACAGTGTCACTATAGTCATCATTATCATTGTCACTATCTGGTAATGAGAAGAATGAAAATTAAAGCAATAATGATATTCCTAAGATCTTCTCAGTCATTATTGGTTATTGATCATTATTACTATCATTATTATTACTATCTACCATGATTATTATGATTATGGCTATTACAATGATGATAATGGTCATACTCATAATCATAATACTGGTAATGATAGTAATAATGATTATTGCTATTGATTAGTGACATATAATAATCAAATCATCATAAAAAAAAAACATACATATAATATGGTATATGAACCAGTACATATAATACATATATTCTTCATATATATATATATATACATATGATAGAAATAATCATCTAACTCTTCCCACCTCTGCTTTTCCATCTGTCATTGTCGGAAGTTTGACTTCGACCAGTCCTCCTTCTTCTCCTCCGCTTTGCTCTTCTCCTCCTCCGCCTTTTTCGCTGCCTCCGCCGCCTGCGCCGCCGCCTTCGCGGCGCGCTGCAGCTCCTCCTCGCTACGGACAGGGAGATCCTGCAGCGACAGCGTCCCGAAATCAGATGGAATTCACCATCAAACATGGAGAAAAATGATGGTTTACCACCTAAAAGCATGGAATAATTGACAAAGATACACAAAGATGGTGATTTAACGTGATTTATTGGCTCTATGCCCACGTATCAAGCTGGGATGACCTATCACAGGCCTACACCACTGGTATGTTGTAAGCGGATTAATCCTTTGGGGAGCCTGGAAGTTGTTGAATTTTGTGAATGATGGTAACCCGGGTGGCTTAAGATGTATATCTTGGCCATTGAATAGGAGTGTGAAGAATTTGCCTTGGGCAAAGTTCGTTCAAAGCTGGCAGTTGACACTGGCGGTCTACATCAAAGGGACTGTCGGGTTCCAAGAACCATCGCTCTCATATGAGGCTATGGCATAGAAAGTGGACGGTTGATTCATTCTCAAAGCCCTTCAAGGCCATGAAAACACAGCACGTTTTTGGTTTAGGTCCATGCCTACTTCACATCACAAGACTGATGGTTTCTGCAACTTTGGGACCCAGAAAGACCACAAGCTCGCTGGACGAAAGTCATATTTCGCTGGATAGAAATCCACATTTCAAGAGATAATACAAACAGTCCGAAATTTTCCACTAAATCTATACTCTTTCCCATCTCCAAAACCCCATGATTTCCCCATTCCAAACCATGGCCCAGGCCGCCAGCCACCTTGGACTCCTCCACGAGGGCAACCAAGTCCCCCTTCTCCGCGATGCTTTGCGGCATGCGCACCCCGCGGCGATGGAGGAAGTGCTTGAGCTGTTTGATGCCTGCACCAGATAGCTGGTCTACCCCATGATTGGGTTTCAATAGGGTCTCAACATGTTTCAACCATCAAAGGAATCCAAGGTGCAGGATTTCTGAAAATCCACTGGAGATCACTGGAGACATGATTTTTGAAGAAGAATTTCATAAAAATTGATGAGGAGACATTGCGAAGATTGTCAACCATATATACCATATGGAATAGGATTGTGAAATTGAGCTGGAATCAGCCCAAGATTTCACATCAAAAAAGTGGAAACATGATGAGAATCCATTGGCACGCATTTGTGGGTCTGATCAAAACCTTTTGAAAATGAAGAGAACCTTTTTGAGGAGAGCTTGCATGACATGTCCATTTTGACAGCCACCAAGTATGGTTTTAAATAAAGTACTCAAAGAAGTCTTCGAATTTCGACGCGCTGCCAGTGGTCTATCCCTTGCACTATTCGTCTGTTGTTTTGAAGTGGAAAATTCAAAAAAAACAAGATATCCCGAGTATATGTATCTACTATTATCTACTTATACGTCTTGACTCTCTCTCTCTCTCTCTCTCTCTGCGTTGGGATCAAGATCATCTTCAGGTGTTCCACATCGAGTTTGGTCAAGTCTCATCCCCAAGTGGCAAATGTTCGACCAAATGAGATGAACAGAGGCAGAGGGTACCCCAAAATGATTGCTCATGGTTCAAAATGATCAAAATGTTCAATATGTTCAAAATGTTCAAAATGTTTTCAAAAAAATGCTCAAAATGTTCAAAATGATCAAAATGTTCAAAATGATCAAAGTGTTCAAAATGTTCAAAATGTTCAAAATGTTCAAAATGTTCAAAATGTTCAAAATGTTCAAAATGTTCAAAATGATCAAAATGTTCAAAATGATCAAAGTGTTCAAAATGATCAAAATGTTCAAAATGATCCAAATGTTCAAAATCATCAAAATGATCCAAATGTTCAAAATCATCAAAATGTTCAAAATGATCAAAATGTTCAACATGTTCAAAATGATCAAAATGTTCAAAATGATCAAAATGTTCAAAATGATCAAAATGTTCAAAATGTTCAAAATGATCAAAATGTTCAAAATGATCAAAATGTTCAAAATGTTCAAAATGTTCAAAATGATCAGAATGTTCAAAATGATCAAAATGTTCAAAATGTTCAAAATGATCAAAATGTTCAAAATCCTGAAAATCCTGAAAATCTAATCCATCTGTGGTAGGGCTCTGACATTTTCACCAAAGCATCCCAATGTGAAACCAAAACATCCATAGATTCTAGACGAATGATCGTCAATCCCAAAGCTCCTTTTTCTGAGCCATGAAATTGATGCGTTGACTCATGGCAAGGGTCAAAACCCTCGAATGCCTGGTGTCACACCAAAAAGTCGCTAGTTTATCCAGATTTTCTTTGCAAAAAAATGCATGCTTTAGATGGGAAAAAATGTCGAAAACCCAAATTGGGTTGCTTACATCCCCATTGTTCATGCTTAGATCTTCCATCGGGGAAAATCATAGGATTTGACCATTCACCCTAAGCACCGAAAAGAATCAAAAGGACAGAAACCAAAACACTCAAGTGCTTTGATATCTTTTTGACCATAGATCCATTCTCTCCCCTGCCGAGGTGCTCATCTGTGTGAAGGGCACCGCAGGATCCTGCTCTTCATCTTTTGGTTTCGGCTCCTGTGACATTGAAAAAACAGTTGTGTTTTCGATCATAGCGATCTGATTGGTTTCAATCCATCCGAAAAACTTTAACCATTGGGGATTTGAAAACAAAAACAAATGAACCACCAGCCAGTGACTGATTGGGAGATTGTAATGCCAAGTCGCAGGATTCGGCTGTGGATGATTGAAATTCTAATTGTCAGACATGTTCTGTGGATTTCCCAAAAAAAACTCTGGACAACCACCCACTGGTAAAACCTGCCGTATTTCACCACGTTTGGGCTCAAGACTCAGATGGTAAACTGTCCACTCATGATCCTTGGGAGAAAGTCAATGGGACATATATATATATATAATACAAATACAACTCAAAAAAGAATGCCAACAACTGCCAACAACCCCACAAATTTTGTCATTGTTGCTACTAAACTTCCATCTTGGCGGAGGAATCATAGCAAGGCGCGGAAGGCTGCCATTGTCACTCCGCCATACCCGTGTTTGTTGGTTGTATCCCTATCTTCAAGCCTGTAGTTTAGGGTCTCTTGTCATCTTGGTTGCTCACCTCCCCATGGTTCTTACACCCATCTTTGCTGCCTATCTTCCCATCTTGACTTCTGGTCAATTCGTGGTCGCAGCAACTCGTCCCAAGAGTCAAGCCCTCGCTGGTAGCACCCAGCAGCCTCCTGCATAGGTTCGTCTCCGCCACCACCAGCTTGAAGTTCATTTGCCTGGCAAGATAATGGGATCGCAAAATCGCGCAATGCGCAAAACCCTGAGCGATGAGCAGTGTTGCAGTGGTGGGAGATTCTCCCCCCATAAAGACGGCCCGCACCGAAGGTGCCTGATCGTGGTCACTTTGTAGCCAATAATCTGCTCAATGCATCAGAGCATGCATATAGCTTCAGATGGGGGCAAGGCATTTTCGAAAGTTCGAAAGTTACAGACCGCCAAAAAGCGCACGATACTGCATTTCACTTTAGAGCCGACATCTGCGCAACATGGGCTCAATTTGAATTTGGAGTCAACCTGGGCCAAGTTGGAACCAACTTGTGTTAGTTCCAACTTTGGCCCAAGTTTGGGTCTAACATGACGCAACTTGGGCCCAAGTGACTCCTGTTTGAGGCCACTTCGGCCCAAGCTGCGCACAGCACGGACTCAACATGGGGAACGTGGTATGCTGAAAACAAGTGTTATTTACTTGCATTTCCCGCGTTTTTTATCATTTTGCGGACCTCGGTGAAAGTTCGTGAAAGTGGTGCTGGGCCCTGTTCCTCAAGTTGGGTCCGTGTGGCCTTCCACTTGGGCTGCAGTTCCCCCCGCATAGGTAGCGTGGCTCCCAAGAACGGGCCCAAGTTGCACCATGTTGGACCAACTTGGACCCGAGTTGGAGTGTTCAGCCCGCATGCTATCATGTTCCTCAACTTCGAAAAGCCATCCCCTAATTACAACGTGGTGCGGGCGGTGTTCGTCGCGAAGAGACTCGAATATTTGCCAATAGGATCATTATCGAGAGTAGGACGGGACCAACGAGTACCTAGAGCAGCTATAGAGGTCAGAAGCGATTGCTGGATGGTTTTCTATTTCCATCTATTTCCCATTCGCCAAACAGTGCTTAAAATTTGGAGATCCTCTGCCACAACATGTGGTACTGTAGCTGCTGTGCGCCTCATTGCCAGCCGGTTCTGTGCCTTCCGCTCCATCTGTCTTAGGAGCCTGGTCGTAGGTGGCAAGCGAGAGTCGTGGGAATGTAAAGCGAATCCTACTGGGAATCGTCAAATTGGAGCCAACATAAACGATGGTGGTGATGATGATTATGATGATGATGATGATGAGGAGGAGGACCAGGAGGAGGAGGCGGAGGAGGAGGAGGATGGAGTCGTGGGAATGTAAAGCGAATCCTACTGGGAATCGTCAAATTGGAGCCAACATAAACGATGGTGGTGATGATGATGATGATGATGAGGAGGAGGAGGAGGATGACCATGACCATGACCATGCCCCTGGCGATGGCAGAAGACGTGCACCAATCACAAAGTCATATGCACTTGGCAACATGGCAGCTACAGGCGCAGATGGAACCCGGCAGAAATGCACTTGGTATCACCTTTCATCATCTTTCATCCGGATATTGGTCACAATCGGACGCCGCAAAGTTGGATGGACTTATGCTTACAAACTTACAAATGACCATGACCGTTCGATCAGAATGAAATTTGACTATTGTTCACAACTGATTTGCCACTAATTGGTCTGAAAAAGGAGTTTCAACTGGGTCTTTGAATTCTTTTCCATGGTTTTCACTGCTTACAGCCTGTAGTTGGGCACCAGCTCAATAAAAATACAAAAAAACAACTGAACGCTGCAACGATGTCACCTTATGACTTCAAAAGTTTGAGAAAACTTTGGAAAACCATCCGAACCTCAGAGCCTCGTCTGGTTTTTCGGGTTTTGGGATGGATTTTCTCTGAACGGAACCTCGTCAATGGCTTCGGCAATGACATCCACATCTTCGCCTGATCAGGATCCCAGGACCACCTTGACCAGTCCCCGGAGTCCCCTGTTCGAAACAGATTTCCTCCGTTTCCTCCCTTCTTTCCTGAAGAAATGGTGGTTAAATGGTGGTAAAGGTTGTGTTAAGTCTTATTTCACGACCGTTTAACCACAATCTAAGCACCATTTAACCACCATTTAACCATCAAACACGAATGCAAGAATACCCCGAAATATCAGGATCCCTTCTTGGCACTAAGGAAAAATGGCCCGGAATCAGATTGAGAAGTCATGAGGATCCAACATGGCTTGACCATGCGAGTGCATCTGAAAATGGTTTGTACACCCCGAAAATGGTGAATTGTTGAAGGGAAAATGATGATAAACCATAGGCATTTGGTGGTGCCCCATTTTCAAGAAAAGGGCGGTGTGCTGGCAATTTCACTGTACCTACAGTAGTTTCCCCGTGGTCTAAACACACTTCCGGCACGGATTTTGCGGCTCTCACAGAGTCTCACAGAGTCTCACACCAATCTTCAAACCATGCTGGAGCCGCGTTCCATTTTTTCGCATGGGGCTGGCGAATGCCCAGGCCCAACTGTGCAGTGACAGACTTGCTACATCTGGGAGCGGAGAGAGCCTTTGATATTCTGAGCCTGGCCAATTCAGATTGGTCCATGCTTTGGGTCCATCCTTCCACACCTGCACTGCTTGCCGCATGGGTGATGATGAATCGTACCGGCACATTAGCTCAAAATACTCATCACAAGGGGAGGCCAAGCAAAATGCATCACCACGCGAATATGTGTCAAACTTGGATCGCCAAGAATCGGTTGCTTCATTGATATAATGCAAAATATCCTATCTACAGTCCACTAAAATGGTGAGATAAAATATGGACGACCCTCATCGTCTCCTTCTCTTCAAGCTGGGACATTTCTCCAGAAAAGCCACCACTTTGGAACGGCGCCGACGAGCTGCAACCTGCAACAGGCTCTCATCCCTGGACCCGTTGCCAGGGACTGACTCAAGGAGAAAGCTAACCACTTCAGTGCAGCCAAATCTGACGGCCAGATGCAAAGGGGTTGCACCGTCAGGGCCAATGGCCTTTTGGTCCGCCCCAGACTCAATCAAGAAGCGAACCATGTCGGAATCGCCGCACTTAACAGCCAGTCGCAAAGGGGTTTCACCATCACATCTGGCTGCGTTTGAGTCAGCGTCAGACTCGATCAGCAAACGAAGAACAACTTCTATTGCAGAGTGGTCCCCGCAAGTAATTGCCAAATGCAAAGGGAATGCACCAGCTTCAGTTGGCCTATGCTCAGCGCCTGACTCAAGCAGCAAGCGGATAACTTCAGGTGTGCTAAACCGCACTGCGTAGTGCAAAGGAGTTTCATCTGTGTGCCTGGCCGCATTTGGGCTGGCTCCAAACTCCAAAAGCACTCGCACCACTTCTGCGTTCATATTCCGGGCGGCCAAATGCAAAGGTGTATCTCCAGTGTGTAGGGCCGCCTCTTTGTCGGCCCCAGACTCCAGCAGCCAGCGAATCATCTCCAGCCTTTCGTGCTCAACGGCCAAATGCAAAGGTGTAGCGCTGGTGTTTCTGCTGGCATCGTTGATATCTGCCACAGCCTCCACCAGCAGGCTGGCGCACCCTACACTGCCGGAGCTTGCCGCCAGGTGCAAGGCACCTTCAGCGAAGTTGTCACCGTCCTGTGGCTTGCGGGGGCACAGCAGAAAGAACTCAACAGTAGAAACATCATTTTGCTGGCATGCATCCAGCAATTTCATGGTTTCCACATCATCCTGGGCTAAGAACTGCAGGAAGACCAGCTGCAATTCACCAGCCACCAAGGGCTCCTCATCCAAGCACTCGCTGTGATCGGCCCGCAAAAGTCGTTGCCGAAACCGAGGAAGCCCAGTCAGCTCGGCCAAGCGCTGTTTTAGGGCGCGGGTGCATTGAACCTCCAAGTCATCCAGTGTCAGAGTAGTAATTGATTCACCTGACACTGCTGAGGTCACATGTAGCATCTTGAGCCGCCCTGCGTCAAAAAATATGTCATGCGCAAAATGAGGTTGCGCTAAATGAGGTTGCGCTAAGTTTCTGGAAATACTATGCGTTGGAAGTGGAAGTGGTCGAAAAATGACTGCTCCGCCAAACCTCTTTTAAAATGCCAACTGTCTGCGGAGTCTATGCTCCAACACCCTGTGATTTGCCTTGGTTGGGGTCACATTAGCCAATAAAAATCTGGTCTTTCTCAGATGGTCTGGTGCAGAAGTTGATCCCTTCACGGTCAAGGCAAAACCCCAAGGGCCTTAGACACAGATAGATTCGAACCCCATCAGAATCTCTGGTGCCAAGATGTGCCAAGAGGGCAGTGGGCCAATCATTTTTCTGAGATTTGCTTTGGATTCGGAGCACCCAATATCTGCCATGGTCGAAACCTAATGTGTGGTGGGTAGACCAGGAAGTGAAATCGAATATGTTGATACCCTAGTCTCGGAATGGAGTTTACTGAGGCATACTGAGGCTATTCGGTCTT